AGATTCCACGCATGTCTTTAATGTTCAAGAAGTCAGTAATATAAAAGTGAGATCAAAACCTGAATATGAAGAGGAAATTCAAAAAGGTAAAATAATTATTATGTAATTCAAAGTCATAAAAAACTTAATTTTTAACGCATATCAATTCATTATTAACCACCTTCGAAAGCATTAACAAACTCCTTCAAATCTAATGAAATATATACTCCTTTCAAGAGTAATGATGGATTTATATTGAACTTATTTTATTATTTTATTAAATTGTTTAATATTCATTATGAACCAACATATATTGTCAATACTTTAAGGCAATATTTTATAGATAATAATACAAATCCTTTAGATACTTTTAATCAATTAATTCATCATCAAAATCAATCTTACTTTACAAGTATAATCGGTTATTTTTATCAATTTGGAATTGGTACAGAAATTAGTTATAGATTAGCGAACAAATTTTATTCACGATCAAACTTTCATGATGTAAAAACTTCTAATGCAAGTAACTCGGATTCACCATTTTTTAGCGAATTGATTGAAAATAATCATAATATAGGAAAAATTTCTCTAGCATATTTATATTTTTATGGTATTGGAGTTAAAGAAGATATGCAAAAGGCTTTTGTTTTATACAATGAAACTGTCAAAAATAATTATGGATTAGGTCAATATTTAGTTGGAAAATGCTTTGAAGAAGGCTATGGAGTAGAAAAAAATAATAAAAAGGCTTTCGAATGGTATATGAAATCTGCTAAAAATGGTTCCCCTCTTGGCCAATATGGTCTTGGACGATTTTATCAATTTGGTATATCTATTAATAAAGATGAAAAATTGGCATTTGAATATTATACAAAATCTGCTGAAAGTGGAAACTTACGTGGACAAACTAATCTTGGATATTGTTACGAAAATGCGATAGGTGTTATCAAGGATAAAAAGAAAGCTTTTGAATTATATCTCAAATCATTTTTTAGCGCTGATATGTCTATTGCCCAAAATTATTTTTTGCGTTATTATAAGAATTATATAGGTATTGGAAATGATAATAATATGGCACTTAAATTGCATTTAAAATTAGCAGAAAGTGGTAATCTCGTCGGTCAAAACAGCCTTGGATTCTGTTTTCATCATGGTATTGGTACTAACAGAGATTTTGGAAAGGCAGTTGAGTGGTATTCAAAATCTGTAGAAGGTGGTAATTCTAATGGACAAAATAATCTCGCATGGTGTTATTATGAGGGTCATGGTGTTGTTAAAAATAAGAAAAAAGTATTTCAACTATGTTTAAGTTCGGCTAACAATGGTAATTCTAATGGATATAATGATCTTGGATGGTGCTATCAAAATGGTGTGGGTGTTACAAAAGACAAAAAAAAAGCATTCGACTGCTATTTGAAATCTGCAAAAAGTGATAATTCTTATGGACAAGTCAGTCTTGGATTTAGTTATTATAATGGTGTGAGCGTTGACGTAGATCGAAAAAAATCATTTGTGTGGTATTTGAAATCTGCTAAAAATGAGGGCGTCGTTGCACAAAATCAACTTGGATGTTGTTATCAAAGTGGCGAAGGCACCAACATAAATAAAGAAAAAGCATTTATATGGTATTTTAAATCTGCTAAAGGTGGAAATACTGAAGCGCAAATTAATCTTGGGCAGTGTTATAAAAATGGATTTGGTACTTCTATAGATGAAGAAAAAGCGCTTATGTGGTTTTCGAAAGCTGTATATAGTAAAATTAATAATGTCACTTGGGTTCAGTATTCATAGATAAATCCATTTGTAATCTTATTTATTGACTCTACTCTGCATAGTGGTGCACATAATTGTTTGAATTCGTCATCCAGTTGACAAAAGGTTCGTATGCTATCTAATCAGGTTGCAAAAAGCTTATCACCAATCTCTTGGATGTTTTCCAATTATATTCTCATAATTTATAAAATCATTAATTTGTTTATTTTCACTTGTTCATCCATGAGTCATATTCTGAGGGTCATGTTGTATCGATCACAACCTATTAATTTCCATATCTTTGCTATTTTTTGTATTCATGACACTTTAGGATCATATAATTTTCAAGCCTGACACAGGCAATAATTGTGATTATTTGCTTTTTTTATATAATTCTTTCTCTTTTTTGTTTTGTTTATTTGTCTTTTTATATTGTTATCTTCCTATTTTTATTTTTGTTGGGTTATAGCTCTTAATTTTTTTTATCTTATTTTTCTATATCGACATTATAAGATTGTAGTATTTAATTGTAGAGTAGCAGTTGAATAAGCCTTTAGTTACCTATAACAATTAGTATAGTAGGTTATTTACAATTATTAAAGTCTTTAATGTGTGCCAAGTTGGTGGCGCATTAATCATCCCAAGTAATTTGAGAAAATTAAAATTTCTAATGATAACAATAATAAAATTATAAACTAGAGCAGAACGAAAACACTATTTTCTAACTTTATTTCTACTCGAATTGTGTTCATTTTCACAAGGTACATTTCCCTTACTTCATAACTTTTAGCTTTTAATATTTTTTGTTTTGAATTCAAGAAATACTCTTATTCGTTTACTTTTATAATTTTTATAAATTATTATTTTTAAATTTTTTACGGGGCGAAGTGATGACAACTCATCAAAATTCTTATTAAGTGTATAAGATTTAAAAGTATGGTAATAAATCTCAAACACAATATGTTAGAAATAAACATGTACAACATTTCTTATTGTTAAAAGATTTCACTTTTAAAACTAAAATTGCTTTATAATGAACCTTTTACAACGACCTCTGAAAATAATGAACTAAAAATTTTAAAAATTTATATTAATTCGGCAATAAAGAGGGTCGAAAGTATTTCATATTTCTGTTATACCTTCAATTCACAAAATAAATATAGAAAACATTCAAAGTACAGGATGGTTGACGAAGCACACAGTAGAAGTTTTCATTCAAAAAGAGTTTTTTTTTTTTTTTTTAATCTTCAAAGGTGAGATTAAATAAATTTTAAGAATGTACTGTATATAATGAAATAAGAGGTCGTTGTGGCTGATTAATGTGCCGTACCTGGCACACATTAAGAATTGCAATTATTTGAGTACTGATAAAGTAATCACAATATTAATTCTTGCAACTTAAAAAAAAACTTTATATTTATATTTATACTTTTAGGGTGTTCTCAAGCATCTCACTCAATGGATTGGAGGCAAATTTTTTATAGTCGGAAATCGAATAAATTAACCAAGTGACCATTTCTTCAAAAATTTACTATTGATAAAAGTCGTTTAAACATTACTTTTAATTTTTTACGTACCAAACATAATAAACAATGGATTCTCAACAAATTTCTAAACGATATGAAAAAAATAGCCTTTATTTTTTAATTCTCGAAGCTTTTAAAATAAATAATCGATACCTTGATATGAACATCATATAAATACACCATCTTTTAACATTTAATCAAACCATAATGAATTCTGCTATTCCATTTTTTTGCACAATAAAATTTAATATTAAGATTCGTAAGAAAAAAAATTTATTTCTTGTTGCTGTAAAATGCAACTTTCGTTAATGACTGATTCTGTTGCTGTTGTAACAACAAATTTAAATTGGTAAAATCATTAAATGGAGAAGCTGACGTAGCTGAAGTTAAAGTTTTGACAACCGGTTGAGTAGAAATTTTTTTAAGGTGTTTTAGATGTCATAACATAGATCACGAAAAATAGAAAGAGTATGCTTAAGCATTTAATTCTACAAATATTGTCTGATCGTGATGCTTGAGCATCATCATGTTCATTAATTAATTAATTAATTAATTGAGATGCTTGAGAACATCCTTAATAACTCAACATTAACAAAAACCTAAAATTAGTAGATTCTGGGTTAATGTTTTTTCACATTTAATTGATGATGAGAGTTATAATTCTTTTTAGTAATAGCTTGTATTACACTTTAATATTACAGTTATTGTTTTTCAATTAAAAACACAATATACAGTCAAGCCTCTCTATAATCACACCCTTGGTTTTAAAAATTTGGTGCTTATAAAGAGTTTGTGCTTATATAGAGGTCAAATTTTATAAGTGCTATATAAGTTAGTTTTAAAAATTTATATGATTATAAGAAAATGTGACTATAGAGGAGGTGACTATAGAGAGGTCTGACTGTACTTTTAGGTCTGAATCTCTTAATATAACTAATATGAAAGTAAATTGTTATTATTTTGTGGTATTTTATTAATAAAATAGATATGCAGGCTTTAGAGTAAAATTTTGAAACAAGTTAATTAGTTATTCATTTTTAGATTAAATTTTGAAGGTATTATTAGATTTGGAACAAGAAAAATAAATTGATCATAAAAGATAAAATTAATAATCATTATTTAAAGTTTAAATATAAAATAACTAGTTGATATGTGGTAATATTAGGTCTAACCAGTTAAATTATCAAAAGTAGACAAGTAAATAAAAATATTTGTATAGTGCTAAATAATATATAATGAATTATATATCATAAAATTTTCTTATTATTGAAATAGTAAACACACTTCACTATTGAAACAGAACCACATTATTGGAAATTATTAACCAACAACTTATTAAAGTCATGAAACCATCCACAATCATAATTATTACCTACCTACTTCTACCTATCTACTACTAATTTGTGAAGTTTCTCATTGTTAAAATGCTAACCACATTCATTATTAAAGTTAATAAACTCATCTAATATTGAAATTATAACAAGAGCATCACATGCATATGCTTTATGAGAAGTGCAGTTATTAAAAACAAATACTGCAGTACAATTTGGAAATCAGTTTTCAAAAATTAGAATAGCTTTTCTTTTATTTGTTTAACAAGATCTTCAGCTATTCAATATCCTTGATATTTTTTTCCAATTTCAAAAGTTGTATATGCATATTCATTATTAAATCTAAGAGGTTCATCTTCTTGAGTAAGAAAACTACTAATTATAATTGAATGACCCAAATGTTTAGGGATTTTTACAGAATTTGCAGAAACTTCAAAATCTTCAAATAGTTGCCATAGATGTAAATAATCATCAGTAAATCTAGCTGACATTGAACAATAATTATTTTTCTTTTTTGATTTTCATTTAATTCTAGATAAATAATAATTTCTAAATTTTCTTCTTCAAAATTAGTCATAAAAGGTTTAAGCTTATCCATAGTATCAATAAATTCTTTTTTTTCTTTAACTACATCTGGTCTTTTATGACTATCCCAATAAATTTCTTTAAAAATAAAATAAAATAAAATAATTATTATATAATTTTTTATATAAATAAATAAAACTAAACTATATACCCTTTTTAGCTGGTTGATAGAAATATCCAAGCTTATTTAACCATTTAGCTGATATTCTTAAGCATATTGGTTTGGGTATTTGTTTATTAATATAATTTCTAAATTTACTAGATGTAGTTGTTTTGTCTTGTAATTTAATACAATTTTTACATTCTAAAACAAACTTTTCATTATATATTTACCTTGTTTAGATATTGACAAACTATCATTTTCAAGCCAATGTTTAGCCTAGTTTTAAACTGTTCTTTCTATATTATCAGTATATTTAATATATACTAATTTAGCAGCTTGATTGCCTGCTACTACTTTTGTTTCTCCACTATTCAAAAATTTTAAATATTTATAAAATAGCTCTTTTTTTATTATAGTCAAATTCTATTAAAGTTTTTTCATTTTCTAAGAGATCATTTTTTAATTGTTCAATTTTAATATTTAATTCTTCTTTTAATAAGCTTCTATCTATCTATTTTAATTTTTTATTTGAAGAAACTTGATTAATATCATAAGTAGTTCTTTTTGTAACTATTGTAAGTATATTTTTTAATAAATTTATTGTATATAATAAGTATTGTATATTAAAATTTTTAAAATTAAAATAAAAATTTAATATAAAATTTAATACAAAACAAAATAATTATAACTATATAATTTTTTAAATTTTAAAATTTTTTTGTAATACAATATAATTTAAAATTAAACAGCAAATTTTATTTTTTTGTTATTGTTCATTGGAATTGTACTAACCAAATATAGATTTGTTGGGAGTTATTATTATCTAACAATAGAAGTTTAGGGAAGTGTTCCTTGATTTGAATATAATTATAAAACTGATTAATTGCATATTAAATGAATATTTTATTTGCAATAACATAATACAAATAATTCTTTTACTATTATATATGATGTAAAAAATCTAAAAACCACAATCACCTTACAATAACAACAGAGACAAAGTATAAAAAGTAACCAAATACTATATTTTCTAATTATTAGTGTTAATAAAGTGTATATATACAGTGCAACTACAATCACTTTTTATAAAGTATAAACAAGTAGCATGTATATAAATATTTTATTGAAGTCGATAATTTAAGAAATATTTGACTTCAAATGTGCTATTTAATTATGCTTATTAATTATATATTATATTAGCTCTAGAGTAATGGTGATTTTTAAATTTTCTGCTGTGCATAATTATTGAAATCAAATATTTCTTAAATTATCGACTTTAATAAAGTATTATATACTTACTTTATTGATGTTAATAATTTAGAAAATACTGTGCTGTATTTGAAAATTAGTAAGTATTAATAAAAACCTGCATTTCTTTCTGAAATAATACAAACTTTAATTGATATAATATTAGAATGATTTATCTTAATGTTAGTAATTGCTATTAATATGAAACTGGAAAAAGCATTCCTAGAATGAACCTATCATTTACATATTTCTCATTAACTTAATTGTATATAACTTTAAAAAAATTATTTGTACTTGGTGCCCACACTAATTTGTAAACCTTTAGATCTAATGTTGCCAATTAGAAAAGATAATTATATATAGCTTATTATTGTGATCAAACAATCTACCACTACATTAGAAATATGTTTTTAATTGATAATCTACCTATAAACTGAAGAATAGGTGAAATAAGACGTCTGCCATCTAAAACTTTTTTTTTAGTATATTAATGATATATGCTTACTAATTAAAGTTGTAGAGCTCGTCAAGACGCATTTAACAGTGGTTAGATCATCGAAATCGGCCTAGTGGATGGTGAGAAATCATCAAAAATGATTGGCCAACTATATAAAAATTTGTGACAGAAATTACATATGAAAATCACTATCAGCAAAATGTGATATGCTTCTATTTAAACCTTTTTCTTACTAAGTTAAAGATATATACCCATTAATTAATGGTGGTTAGATTATCCAAATCAGCTCAGTAGATGGAGAGATATCATCAAAAAACAATTGGCTGACTATATAAATTTTCTATATAAACATTGTTTACATAGAGATTTTATATAGTCAGCCAATCATTTTTTGACAATATCTTTCCTTCCACTAGACCGATTTGGATGATCTAACCACAATTAGAAGTGTTTTGATAAGCTCTACAACTTTCAATTAATGGGCATGTATCTTTAACTTAGTAAGAAAAAAGTTTTAGATAGAAGTACGTCACATTTTGCCAATAGTAATTTTTATATATAATTTCTGTCACAAATTTTTATAATTGGCCAATCATTTTTCAATGATATCTCACCATCCATTGGGCCAATTTGAATGATCTAACTACCTTTAGATGCATCTTGATGAGCTCTACAACTTTCAATTAGTAAGCTTGTATCATTAATATAGTAAGAAAAAGGTTTTAAATGGCAGATGTCTCATTTTACCTATTATCCAGTTTATAGGCGAATTATCAATTAATTTGTTAATTTATTTTAATTATTGGTTTATTAGAATGGTGTGCCAGAAAATAGTAAACAAAAGATTCAGAAATACATATTGTTCACACCATACATTCTCTGCGAATGATCATCTACATGTGATAATATTTTAATAATCTTGTATTTTTATAGTATTTATTTAAACCTAATTTAGTCATTTTTAAATATTAAAAAAAGTGTTGCATATTATTTTCTGAACTTTCTTTGTGCCAACTGGAGTATTAGGATTATTATTTATTTTATTGATGGCCTAGTACAATTTTGATATAAATATGACTACACCAAAGTTGCACTATCAGATTTTAATATAAACTTTATGATTTTAATATTAATGTTATAAGAAATTAGAACTTTTTTGTTTAAAATGGTTAACAATATGAAGGCATTATTTAACTATTAATGCTGTAATATGAAACTAAATGACAATGATACTAAGATAGATGATACTAAAATTGGTGTTTAATAGACCTTATTAAAATCTATATATACTTTATTATGAATTCTAACTCTAACTCCTAACTTTAAACAAATAAGTTCAAAATTTAGCATCATCAGATAATAATGCATTAAATAAATTACAAATTTTACATATGATACTAAATTAGATTTACTCGATCAGATTTCATAATTGGTACTATCCTGATATCACTCTATTTTTATAAATTAAAATCAAGTAATTCATATACATATGTCTTTATATTTAGATTAAATAAGTATTAAATTAAATTCATTAAACCGATTTAAATAAATATTGCTATCTTTGGTTTAAAATAAATTTTTATTATTGAAAACTTTGTGTAGTCTTATTTATTATTGTTAAAATTAGATTCCTGCACGTTAATTCTGAAACCTCTTATTAAATCTATATGCTGAAATGACAAACTTAACTGAATTAGTCAAAAATCATTCTGCTAATTTTTGTCAGATGCCAATTACAGATCGACCTAAATTGCGAAACTAATAGACTACAAAATCTGCATTTCTTTCTGAAATAATATAAAAAGTACATAATGTTCACGCTAAACTTGTAAACCTTAGATCTAACTCTAATACTAAATTTTTTATTTAGAAAAGATAATCATAATATTTTGATAAATGACTATTAACTATAAATAAAAAGGAATTAAATAAGAAATAAATAGATCATAAGCTATATCAATATGAATAAGAATAAATTAAATGATAAGTAAATAATATCTAAATGATGCCAAAAAATCTGAACTTTGATTATATAATTATATGAACTAAATTATAAAAAAATTATATAAGAGTCAGCTTACTTTGAATAACAAATTGAAATAGCAATTAAATCAATACAAAAAAATTAAATATAAACAAATTAAGTGTTAACTTATCTTTGAATAATTTGATTGATCAATATAAAGAAATTGAATAAGAAATTATTTGCATTGATTAAAATCAATATGAATAATAAGATATATAAACATAATAACTTGTCACTACACTTATTGAAATAATTGGAGAAATACTTATATATTAATCAAATCACTATCATTATATCTACCCTTTATTTATGATCAGTAATAGAGTTCTTTATTTTTCATATGTTAAAACTGGTTTTTAAACTCCAATTAGTGATAATAAATCCTAAATAGAAAAATAAAAAATGCTAAATATTTTATTAATAGATATAAAAATTTGAATCAAGCTACTAATATTTTGTTACAATATTTGAATATAAGAATTTTAAAACTTGTAAAACAAATCGTGAGAAAAGAGTAAATATGGTTTGGAGTATAGATCATTTGTGCGCAAAAGTTGCCTATATATAGAAGAAAATATTATATATATAAGCTACAAGTGATATTAACTCTGATAAACAAAATTTTCTGTCATATAATTGTTGTTTTCACCTTTACAATAAATAGCTATAAGCATGAATAAATTATTTTATCGCTGTATGCATAGTTATTTTTTCATTTAAACAAATACTATAAATAGCAAGATTATCTAAATATTATCATAATCATTCTCAAAGTAAAAAACTTATTTCTAGATCTTTTTTTTCACCACACTAACAAATAAATAATAAATAAATTATCAAATTAAAAATAATGTGTAATTTACAGTATAATTGAAGTATTTAAACTAATCATTTTTATTTAATTTGTATAATAAAAGTATTAAATACATTAAGACTATTATACTCATTACAACTATTACATTATTATAGCTATTACAATCATTATGCGGGTATTAGTTTATTTGCTTCCTGTCGAACTTGCATCTTTTTTATTCTTTTCTAATTTTATTTTTTCTTTTTTCTTCATGTTGTTTTATTTCCATTAATTCTACTGATTCTCTAAAGCGCTATAATAATAGTCCTAATGTTATTTATTATACTGTTTTTGTCAACTCTTTCTCTGCTTATCTAGTCTTTTCATCCATTCTGTTTCTATTCTAGCTTTTGTGTGCTCGGTAGCCAATCTTTTTTATTATGTATAAACAGCCTTCTTCTTTCTGATGCATATAGGCTTGTTATAATATTGGTTAGTTTGTCTAGTAGGATGTGTTCTGTTAGGTCAATTTCTAACTGTATCACCTCTTAATATGCTGTATCATTTCTTTTTTTGATGCAAGTTCTGTATATTTAATTCTTCCTGCTCTATGTTGTCTCAATTTTATATATATTGCTGCTATTCATTTCTCTGCTTGTTATGCTATTGTAGGTTTTATTCTAGCATTTTCTATT